TAAACCCAGGTACCCTTGTATTTCATTTGTAATTCCAGAAACAATATTTCAACCTTAGCATCCAGTTCTACACTCAACATAAAACTTCTCCAAATTCCTTTCAGAAGGTGGTCTTGGCTGCAATTACACTGTCTAATGACCAAAGAGAAAAATTGGATTCCTGACTGACCCTGGCAGGCCAGCTCTTTATGCTGGAATGATATAAGAGACCAGCTAACAAGACCTCACCATGCATGGCTCTAAATGTTATTGATGGCCCTAAAGCAAGTCCACCTTTTAAAAATCCCTCTGTGCGCCTGGTCTTGTTATCACCATCGGAGTGACTTACATGCCCCCTTGGCTTCTGATTCACAGCAAGAGTTTCCTACCGTTTGTCTTACCTTCGGGACATTACAATATCACGAAATAATCCTCAGGTTCACATGTTAGCAGAGATGATGTTAAGTATCTGATTAGTGTTCATGCTATGTTATGTGCTGTCACTGAATATCTTCTTCGTTCCTCATTCCCTTTCATGAAAAATCATTCTAGTTTAAACATTCTGGGTATTTTCCAGGAACTCTGATAACTTGTGTTGCCTTTCTCAAGCCCTTTTCAATCCATCTCATCAATCAAATTTCCAAAAATCTTTGTTCTTTAATGGAAGGGTACATGCTTACTATAAAGCAGTTATTCTCAAGCACTACAGGCTCCACTCTCCAAAATTCCAGTTCAGGAAGTCTCAGTGGTGGAGCCTAAGAATTTCTAATTTCAAAGCTTCCAGAACAGATTTTCACTTATATCCAGAATTGAACAGAGTTGTGGGAAAATTGGTAATAGAAATTTGATGTGTACATCTTCTTCATTCATCCCTCTAGAAAGACTAAAATATAGTGTCCATGTAGTCCTTTGGATAACCTGCTCCTTAATTAAAAGATGTGGAAAACATTTTCAATTTTTTTCTTCTGCATTAACACTATATTCAGGCATCCAAAAATAAGATCACAGCCTACCAGACTGGTACCCTTGTGCTTTCTAGTCACTTCCTTTTTCTCCTTTTCCAAGTAAAAAAAATAATCTGCACTTTCACAGATTTTCTGAAACCATCAATATTCCAAGTAGGCTACTAAGGTTCGGAATTTAAAGACAGTGTGAAAATGATTTCAGGACAATTCCTATCCTCTAATCTGCAAACGCATCCTCTCTTCCCATCTCATTTTTCTGGGACAATATGGGAGAGGGATCAAGAGAGCTTTCACAGGTGGACTCATCTACAAATCCTGATTTAGGTACATCTACATGCCAGCAGTACCATTTCAACATTTGTTGCGTCCTACTCCAAAGCACACGTCATGCTAGCACCAAGACTAAGAAACAATAAATTATATTTCTAAGCAGAGAATTACTCAGAAACTTAGGCAATAGGAAAGACAAAACCCCGTGCCACTCTGGACAACTCCAAAAATAAAACTTGTTGAGCACGAGCTAGTTTTAAATTCCATCACCAGACCTATTACTTCGATGCTAGCATAATGGACGTAAGTGGGATGGAGGTCAATGGCCTTGCTCCACGCCAGTCACTAATTGGCCTTGGGTTTATGATTTGCAGGATCTGTGAAATTCTAAAGCCCCTTCCAGTTCTATGTTCCCAGGCTTTTACAGCTACCTTACTAATGATCTATTTCTCGTTATAATTGTGTTTCTGATTCCTTCCCTATTTCTCTCTTGCAGATTTTGTTCATGGGCATGATGACGGAGTACTATCACTACTTTTTCACAACCCTGGTAAGCTCATCTGGTAGAAGTATATTCTACATGATAGGAAAGTCCTCCACACAATACTTTAAAGTCAATCCCTCTGGTGTCAATGGCAGGATGTTGTCAAGTAGATTTGCTTTACTTTCCTAAGAATCTTCTAAATTCAGGAATGTGGAAAAGTAGGTTTATTTATCTCTTTTCTTCTGTTCTTTCCTAACATCCTCTCCACCTCTCTTTTAACTAGAATCAATCTATTGTGCATTTGGAAAGGGATGAATTCCACTACACAGAAACTAACAAAGTGCAAACTCTTCATACAGAAGCATCATTTGCAATTTCTATAAACGTTAGAAAGTACACTGAAGTGTGTCTTGGCATTTTTTGACTTGATGTAGCTTCCCAGCCTGTGTCCAGGAGACAGCAGGCTTAAACCAGAGTCACCTGCCAAGTACTTGGAAAACCATCAAGAAGAGGAATTTGGGAAATGCTCTGCACATTGAACATTTTGCATCATTAAGAAAAATTATGGCTCTAAACTTTAGAAATTAAAAAAAAAGAAATGAGCTGCCTTAAATTTTGAGACATTGTCAGTTCTCAGAAAATGATTTAGGGCATTTAATATAACAAAATGATGTGATAACTTTAATTCAATCAATTTCTGAAATCAATCACATGAACACCAACTAGTTCCCACAAGACCCTTCATGCCACACTCTACACTTTCTTATATGAAAGGAAACATAGAATCAGGCTCTTTTTCTAATACATAAGGGTATATTGAACAAAATCTATCCATATTCTGGGGCATTCAGTAAATGTACTGTTTTTTCAAATAAAATTGACAAGTTAAGCTATTTGAGTAGGGGAATCAAAAAAAAAAATTGGAACAAAGACCAAGGAACTTTCCTACTCATCCTCTTCATGGAAGTAGTACTTGCTGATTCAAGTAACTCTAGGAGTAACCAGAGGTGCAAAGGATCTCATGAAAATAATGCTTTTGGATAGTTGTAAAAATCATTGGTGCTACTGAGGCTGGGGTGGAGACGTGGGGTGCAGGATATAAGAAAACAGTTTGAAGTGATCATGATAGTCTGTTATAAATGTGAGTCAGTCTACACAGTTCTAGTTTATACCCAGCTGGTGGGTTAAATCCTTTCCATGGAGCATTGTACAAAAGGGAATGAGTTCCACTGTCAAAGATATTCTTCTGATAACATGCCCATGTACTCTAGTATACAGAACCCTTTGATTCTATTCTAAGCACATATTCAGTAGCACTCTTTATGTCCTCATTGTATGGAATATGAGGGATCTTCAGCGAGCTAGAGATAAGGTATTTCTTCTGGCCAGGAGTGATTTTCTTATCAAATAAATATGTAATTTCCAAATTTCACCTCCATGGGAATTCCTGGAACAGCCTGAAACAGCAAATGATGGAGAAAGGTGATACTACAACTGACCAGTGGATCATTCTTAACTTTGCCATGTCACCACAAAGAACCTCAGTCTCTTCACTTATAAAATAAACACACTGAACCAAATGGACACAAAGACCCCTTCCAGATCCCCAAACACTACATCTTAGGAAGACAATTCTAAGATTCGCAGAATGTCACATTCTATGCCCAAGGATATACCTATAATGACAGCCAAATTCCTCTTCTTGCTGTATCTAAGTGCTAACGGTAATGCAGAAAAATGAATAAAAATGAAAACTGCTTACTCTCTTAGAGTTTCTCAGGCAGCATGTGAATGGGAAACAATGAGAAATGTGTGATAATGGCTGCCAATTTGTTTTAATCTATTTGTTGCTTCGGCAATAACTTAAGAAGAAGATGATGTTAATTCATTTCATTTTTATCATTTTTAATACTGCACAGGACTTATTTGCTTTAGATCTGGAGCTCTATAGGTACAGTGGCGTCAATATGACTGGGTTCCGGTTGCTCAACATTGACAATCCTCATGTGTCATCCATCATCGAGAAGTGGTCCATGGAGCGCTTGCAGGCTCCCCCAAGGCCAGAGACTGGTCTTTTGGATGGAATGATGACAGTAAGTAGTTTTAAAATAAAATCATTTGAGACAATGCTTGAATTCCTCAAGGGACCAGGCTAAGAATCTCGTATGCCTTGTAGACTGTGAGAAAATGATATTATAGTGTATGTTCTCACATGTATGAGAGAAAAAGAAGTAGGCTTTTTGTGTATTTTGAAAGGCTATGCCTGGCTAGTATCAAAAAAATCTGCTATTTAAAGCTTCTCAATTCTACTGGCCTCAGATAAAAGAGTGACAAGGGTAGCCACGGCCATCAACCAAATGAAGAGAAAGCAGGAACCAAAGCAAGGGCACTTGAAGAGAGATTTGCCCCTGGGAATGTGGCCATGGGAGGGGGGGGGAGAGAAGGAACAACCTGCCTATGAAAGTTAGGCAGAAGGAGTTTGCCTTCCTTATTTCTGCCACATCTCAGCAAGTGGAAGCAGATGTGGAAAAATGCCAGATTTGCATACAGACTGTGCATTCACTTTCTCCCTGCCCTGGATACATATAGGCACATCTCTGCAGACACTGACAGAGCTTAACACCAGCCATATGTTGCTCTTGAAGCAGATGCCAAGCCTGTCTCCTTAGAAGTCAGAGGTACTCTACTGAACAGGAAAACCGCAAACTGCCTCATCAAGAGAGACCCTCACTAACATCATTTGTCTCTTGTTGTCAAATGTACCTACCCTCACTTCATTTCTCTAACGAAGCTCCCTGGGTGATGAAGAAGATAATTTTTTTAAAAAAAAAATACTTTCCATGTAGGAGCAGTGGCATCTAAGGGGAAAGATATTGGGAATGTGAGCAGGTAATAGCATTTTAAATTGGCATAGTATTTCATTCTCTGTTCCCAATCATAGAGAGAAGCACTCTTGCTTTTAAGATGCAATTTACTGATAACTAAAAGGTATCATCTCACAGAGAAATAAACTTGGGATTTTTTTTTCCTATGAGGAACAAATGAAAAGAAGAAATAAATGAATGAATTTGGTGGTTCTGGATGATTCCATGTTCAGAGTTCCTGACTGTTTTTCAAACCTGAAATAACTCATAAAACACACAGCGATCTGAGAGATAATGACGGGAAGCATTTTGGTACAAATGAGCCTTGAGGAGATTTAAAACCTTGCTTTGAATAAGTAGAGAATATCAGTGTAACACCAGAGAGGGAGAAAACAGTAGAGAGAGGCACTGTCAGCTTTTCTGTTCTTTCTCTTGGATTTGTAATTCTAGTGAATTCAAATATGATTCAAAATCCTCTACCCACCTCCAGGCCTTCCAACAAGATTTCTATCATAAGGTGAGCTTTCCAATCATTTTTACCTGTGCTTGGTATATATAACTAAGGAGTTATCATTTGAAGCTGTTTTAACAGAGATTATGGATTCATGCCAAACATTAAATATTCATCACAAGTATGGCTTAATTTACCCAAAAAAAGTAGCTGTGTGTTCAATTATACTGAGCTGACAGACTAGTTCATACATATCTGTCGAGATGAGGAAGATCAGAGAACGAGGGAGACAGAGCTTTGCAATTTATATGGAATCGCTAAGGTGAGGCTTCCAGTGGCCTGGGTTAATGGCAAGCTTACAGGCAGCAAGCACAGCAGAGCTGAGTCCCAAAGGACAGGAGACACCCTACTCTACTTAGGGTTTATTGCTGTCATCCCACCTAGAGAGGCGTTTCAAGGCTGAGTTCTTTTTGTTAATATTAGGAACTATAAAAAGGAAAGCGGGGAATTACTAGACCAGAAGAAGGAGGTTCACCACAGTGCTGCAAAATGGGTAGAATAACAATACTAGATCAGAGTAATACTAGTCAAAGAGTAAAAAAAGGAGGTAATAGGATGTAGCATCCACTAACAATCTGAACCCACAGTTGTGCAGGTATAACTTTGAAACCGACAATGTGATACAGAGTATTGCTCATTATTTATCTTTTTTTTTTTTTTTGCCTTGCCCTGTACCTTTTTCTCCTGTTTTTCCTGAATGTGGCTACTTTAGAGAATGGAAACTGAGTCATGGAGCATGAAAGGCACACATCTGGGGACATGCAATGGACCAATCACTGAACTGGGCCAAGAGGGCACACCTCATGTCCCCAAGTTCAGGCCCAAGGCTAACAAATCTTCAGTTGCCTCTTCTAAAACTCTTTTCTTTTCTAGCTTAAAAATGACAAGCCCTTGGATTGCAGTTTCGTTAGGTCTCCATATGAGACCCTGCACTCGTCCATTCTTGCATGTCAAGTGCTTGTTGCTCCCCCTGCCCAGAGCCCCCCACTATCCAGGCTGATCAATTTCTGCCTCTCCAAGGGAGACTTATGAACATAGCTGCATGTAGTGGTAGCTCTTCTCTGTTGTTCTGTCCACCTTGCCTTTTCTTCATAACCCTTATGGCTTCATACCCTATGTTTTGGTTTGTTGGTTCCGCGCCTTCCCCTACAGGACTATAAACTTCACGAGGACAGATACATTGTTCTTTTGGTACTCCACTCTGTCCCCAGCTCTAGAAAGGCCTATCACAAAGTAAATGTAAAGTTAACAAAGGCGTTACTGTACTAAATGAATATGAATTAACCTTCCATTGAGATATACTATGTTAATAAAAAATAGTCAAATACCTGTGAAATATTTCTACAAAAGTCTAAAGAAAGTCCCTAAAATAAGAAATATAGCCAGGCATGTTGGCACATGCCTGTAATCCCAGCGGCCCAGGAGGCTGAGGCAGGAGAATCCCAAGTTCAAAGCCAGCCTCAGCAAAAAGCAAGGTGCTAAGCAACTCAGTGAGACCTTGTCTCTAAATAAAATACAAAAGAGGGCTGGGCATGTGGCTCCATGATCAAGTGCCTCTGAGTTCAATCCCCAGTACAGAAGAAGAAGAAGAAGAAGAAGAAGAAGAAGAAGAAGAAGAAGAAGAAAAATCTGCATGAGTAACGTAGATAGAGGTTACTTTAAATTAATATGATTATTTTTAAAACTTCTCATAAACTAACCAGCCTTAATGTCATTACCATAAGTAATTGTGAGTACTACCATTACTATAAGAGAACTATATTCTCTAAAATCCTACTTATTTTCCTATTATTATGCAAGGTAAATTTCCTGGTAGCCTTTTATAGTCATACTTTTCCAGGTGCCACATACATTTAGAGATGTTTATATAAATATATAATATAGTAATTAGGAAATAATATTAGAAAAGCCCATATGTTTTGACTTCTATCCTAAGACTTTCCTATTTTCCCTTAAGTCCTTTATTTAAAAAGTCTTAGAAATTCATACACTAAAAAAAAAATCTCAAAGAATATTCTCACATATGTCAAAACACATTCAAGTCTGAAAATAGAGATGTCAGTCATATCCAAGTTCAAAAGCTCTTGACTCTAGACCTAAAAATAGATTTAATTAAAGAGAAACATATTGACTTTAAAAATACAGTTAAAATTAGTCAATTAAGAAAACTGTTACTGAGTGAATAGAGTTAGAAAACACTAGAACTCACTATTAAAAAACATCTTGAGATTTAAAAAGGACGTTTTATCAATTAAAGTGCTAACATTTGGGAAGTTTAGTGTACTTTTCTTTTTTAAATCTACTTCATTCATTCCTTTCGCTATGTTTAATTTGTTCCTACCTGTTGGCTTTGGGTATAGATAGCATAATGGAGTGGCCCATTCCACTCATATGGATTCTCTTCTGATGGGGGACCAAAGCTGTGAATAACTCAATTCTGCACAGAAGCCACAAAACACTGATTTGCCATCTGCCTTCTCAGTTGCTCCAATGCACTCACAGGGTGAAGTTGAGTCAGCAGCTTTACCCTGATCTCTGCCATGTACCATTTCCCATATTGTGGTCCACAGGGAAGATATCTTCAGAAAAAACACCTTGAGTCCCCACTGCTACTCCTGTAATGAAAGACAATAGGAGGCTGGATTAGTAGAAAAATGAAGATCTTTCAGGTGAGGAAAGCTTAGGTTTAGGACTTGGCTGTATCTCCTGAATACAACTAGGTGATCTGAGCAAGTTATTTAGCCTCTCTGAGTCTGTCTGTTGGCTTATAAATCTGTATAATAATACTTTCTCATATCATTCCACCACTTAAATCAGAGAACATACACAAACCTTCTAGAACATAGAATTTATTTTATAATACTAGCTGTTTTGCCAGTAGTCAACAAAAGAACAAGACATTCTGAAATGCCAAGGCGGAATCCTATTCTGCCTTATTCAAGAAAGAGTCTATTTACTTGTAGGAGACCCACCCCTTGTGTTGTACCAGTAACCCATGATGGAACCTTACCTGGGACCTGCATGACCTTGTATGCCTGTGCAATGACTTAGCTATTTTCTCCACCTCCACATACAATCCTCTTTCACCTATTGCTTAGTCTCTCTCAAAAGTCAGTAAATGTTCACTGAGATTTAAATTATGTCAACCTCTTTTGCCAAACCTCACTAAACCTGCTGGAGTTGCTGTCCTAATTACTGAATATCTTGATTGTGAATATGTGTTGATATCTTCACCACCTTCTCAAACCCATTTCCAAATCCTGCTTACTTGTGGATGACTCTTCCCTACCTCCTGGGTGTTCAGGTGCTCAGGATGAGCAATGCCTCCTCCTCTGCCATTTTGGCTTCCTCAGCAGCATCCACTTCCATAGGCATGTGCTCCTCAGCAGGGCTCCTGCAAAGTACTAGTCCTCCACCAGTACCCAGATCCTCATCACTTCAATGAGACAAGTCTCAGAAAAGAGGAAATATAGCCAACTGTGTTAAGTGGGAAATTCCTGTTAAAGCTACCATGGGTTAGATAATTTGGATTTTAATAGAGGAACTTATTAACACCAAGCCAAAGAGACAGGTCAGGAAATTAGAAAGAAAGGATGTTATTTGGAAGCACTTCTCTACTAGAAAATTGCCTTGTCCATTCATATCAGGTTTGCAAATGTTTCCAAATTGGGACAGAAAATAGGAAACCTAGCTTCTTGCCCATTTGCTCTCCAAAGAGTAGATCTCTCTCCAGAATTCCAATCTCTTCCAGCTTTTCCCACTAGCACTTATAATCCCAGGTAGGCAGCAAAGCATGGGAATACTATAAGGCCATATAATCCTGTCCCAAAGGTGAGATGACATTATTGGTTTGTGTTAGGAGTCCCCACAGCCATCCTTGGTTTGATGGTTTGCTCAAAAGATTCATAGAACTTATACTCACAATTTATACAATAAAAAGTTACAGAGTAAAATCACCACAGGAAAAAGTCACAAATGGTTGCGTTCAAGAGAAACCAGGCATACGCTTCCATGTGGTTTTTCCTAGTGAACTCACTTAGAAAGCATTCAGTTCTTAGCAATGATGTGTGACAATGTGCATGGTGTACTACTAACCAGGGACACTCACCCAAACTTTGGTGTCCAATGTCATAATTGGAGGCCATTCACATAAGCATAGAGCACCCACATAGATAACCTCAGTCTCCAAAACTTCAAGAGATAAAATTGATACAGCATGGTTCAGAGCCCCAGGCACATACCATAATCACATTAGTGTACATTGTCTGGGTGACCCAAGACCCCAGAAATCCAGAAACTCTCTTATCAGATAAGATTTTCCAAAGGCTTAAAAGTCATCTCCCAGGAGCCAGTCAAGGGCTGTCCTTTCTTTGGAACGTGCAGGCCTTGGGCACCCCCAAGCCTGCTGAGCTAATGCTTTCCTACAAATTGCAATAACTAAACATTGTGTATTCTTATTTCATGATCCAGGTAGTGGTAAAAAGGTTTTCTTAGGAGCACTGAGCAATGTGATTTCACCCACATTTTATATATTTTATATATTTCATATATATAAAATGTGAGCATAAACACATTTGGAAGAAGAAAATTTTAAACCTAGCCAATGTCTATTACATTACCTATTACCAAAAATGACTTGAAAGTTTCTGTTCAGTATGCATCCCTCCAGCACTAAACAGAAAAGAGGAGGACATGCCACAGTGGTTTATTAGTGCTCTATAGTATAAATATTCCCCTATCTAAAACACATTTTATGTCAAGGAGTAGCATGCTTTTAGAATTAATGGTTTTCTTTGGATTTGAAAAGCACTGATCAGATCTATAATTTTGAACCATTTTATTCTCCATACCAGTCTGGAGGCAGCTTGAAAAGGAAAGTCAAATTTCATTCTAAACTAAGTTTATGGAAAATTCAGACCATTAGAACTTCACTGTTTACACTTCTCTATCAAATCAGTCGCTCAATCATTTAATGAATACAGTTGGCTCCCCATATCCATAGGTTCCACCTCTGGTGATTCTGCCAACAGTGAATCAAAAAACATCCAAGAGAATTGGGTACAGTGGCACACTCCTATAACCGCAGCTACTCGGGAGGCTGAGGCAGAAGGATCATAAATTAGAGGCCAGCCTGAGAAACTTAGCAAGACAGTGTTTCAAAATAAAAATTAAAGAGCTAGAGATGTAGCTCAGTGATTAAGCCCATCTGGGTCCAATCTCTAGTATTGTGCGCGTGCACACACACTCGCTCGCACACACACACACACACACACAGAAAGAAAGAAAGGGAGAGATATGGATCTGAGCATCTGAGAATTTTACTTTCTATTCTTTAAACAACACAGTGTAACAGTTATTTACATAGCATTTACATTGTACTAAGTGTTATAATAATCTAGAGATTATTCAAAGTATATAAGGAGAATGTGTGTAAGTTACAAGCCAATACTGCACCATTATGTGAGGGACTTGGGTATCTTCAGATTTTTGCTATCCAAGAGGGTCCTGAAAGGAATGACCCATGGATACTAATTTGCACATTCAAATTTGTAAAAGAGTGTATTCTGCTGATAAAAAGTCCAGATTGCCACAGTGTAGCAGCTATGAGTGTGAGTTCTAAAATCTGAGTTTGCATACTGAGTTGGAATTCTTACACCTTTTCTTACCAGCTATACAACTTGAAGTAAAGAGTCTGTAAATGGAAACAATGCCCATTTCAAAAGCTTGATTTTTAGCAATTAAAGGTTCTAACATACTTAAAATGCTTATGGTACCTGGAATGTAGAAAAATGTCAATGAATATTAGCTATTATTGTGCTTTTACTGTAATGATTAAATCACTGGACAAGTAACTTGGTTAAAAAGTAACACACCTTCATGAAAAAGAGCATACACTCCGTTACCAAATTCTGGGGCTTCAGTATTGGTTTTCCCACCACTAGTTTAGTTTTCCCACCATTTAACCTCTTCATTTCTTTTCTATAATGGAGTAAAAGTGATGGTGAATATTTAGTGTTTTTAAAGGACTCATAACAGGACTTGAAATACAATAAGTTCTCAATAAATGCTCTTGATTGCATTTTAGAAGATCTCAATCTGCCAGTAGCTTGCTTTCTCCCAACAAACCCAATTTGAAATGGCAGAGTGGTAAAAAACAATGGGTGCTAGAATGAAGTAGCCATGAATTTAAAGCCTGGCCATGCAACTGATTAGCAGAGTAGACTTTTCCACTTAATTTCGATGAGCCTCAGTTTTCTCACCTACAAAATGAATTATGTCAATCTTGAATTGAAATTATAAAGCATTTTTAAGCTTTAGCAATAGCCACCACCTCTATATGATATTTGCATGTTATATAGGTATGAATGAAATGATTAATCTTAAAACTTTGGAATTTTCCACCTTATTTTATTATTTTGGGATTATGCACCTTATTTTATCTGATAGTATTAAGTAACATTAATGCCTTCAGTGAAAATTTATTAAATTGGTTTTATGTACCAAAAACTGTTCTAGGAGTTGTATGCAGTGGTGCATGCTTTTAATCCCAGTGACTCAGGAGGTGGAGGCAGGAGGCAAATTCAAGGGCCCCCTTAGGAGCTCAGCAAGGCCCTAAACAACTTAGCAAGATCCTGTATCAGAATAAAAACAAAATGGACTGAGCATGCACAGAAAAATAAGTATTAAAAATAGGGATATCAGGCTTCAAAGATTGACAAGACAAAATATATATTAATCTCTATTCTCTCTTTCACCTCCATAAAGACATAATCAATGCATAGCAAGTGGTGAATGAATCAACTAATTGCAAAAAAAAAAATTGGATTCTAGACTTAACTCTGACAATTATTCACTATATACTTATGGCCCTCCACAAATCAATATCCTGCCTAGAGGTCATTTTTTTCACATAATAAATAGCTTTATCTATCTGTACTGCTTATTTTGGAGAGTTGAGAATTTCAAATGAGTTAATAATGTATTTAAAGTTGCAATGAAACCCCTCCAGTAAAATTTGAAGGTATTTTAATATTTTATCCCCAAAGAAAACCACAGAGCAGTATATCTTATAAAATTCTGTAAGCATCATATAAAACTTTGCAAATGAGAAGAATTTCATGAGGAATGGAAGAAAATGCCCAGCTCCAAGGAAGAATGACTACTTTCAATCTCTGTCAGGGAAATACCTGCTGGCCTGAGCCAGCAAATTCTAGTTCACATGGCTATTCCTCAGAAGGTCTCCCAAACTTGCTCTTGAACTCAATTCTCTGACTTCAGCTTTCTCAACCCTGGTAAACAGAAGTGACATAGGCATCCTTATCTAGAAATCACCTATTAGTTTTACTTACAGGAGTTTCTTTCTACCAAATATAAACAAGTAAATACATAAATAAATGTAGATCAATTCTGAGAGACAAAATCTGGTTGTGAAATTGTGAGCTTCTGTAACTTCTAGCTCAGGGAAGTTGATCTTAACACCATGCTTAACATGGAAAATGCTTAAAAATATTTGTTTCCTGAATCAAGTCTTTTGTGGCTAATCTGAGTTGCTCTCTTTTTTTTTGCTGTATCTACCTTCAGAATATTTTATATTGTAAAGAATATCTCAATCTGAAATTGTCCCTATAAAAAAAAAAAAAAAGAACTCCAAACAAAAGAGATGTGACTCCAATTTGCTCTGGTGTGCAAAGTATTATTTTGGAGACAAAGAGCTATCAGAGAAGGAAAACTGTGCAGCTGAATAATAAGCTCTTTTTGAGATCAGATACATAAAATTGAAGAAGCAGGACACAGAGGTAAAGGAAGGTAAGAGAGGTGGAACTGAAGATCTCATGTGTGTTTTCCTCCACAGACTGAGGCAGCTCTGATGTATGATGCCGTATACATGGTGGCCATTGCCTCCCACCGGGCCTCGCAGCTGACTGTCAGCTCCCTACAGTGCCACCGACACAAGCCATGGCGCCTTGGACCCAGATTTATGAACCTGATCAAAGAGGCAAGTGGTGGTCTCTTGCAGCCCAGACAGCCCCTCAGCTCAGCACTGCTCTTTCCCACATGCTTCTGTTGGCATGATGCTTACAGGAGAGGGGAAGCCATTGTCATCCAGTCCTCTCAGGTCTCAGTGTCAAAGATTTGCCTAGAAAACTGCTACGAATTTTCTAATGTGATGCTGAGAAGTTCAAAGAAGCTGTCAAGTCATGATTTCCTCTCTTGCATTTCAGCCAGGATGCCAGCTACTGCAGGCCCTCATGGGAGCTTGTTCCCAGTGTAGTAAGTCAAGAGGAGGGTTTGTTCATTGCTGAAGGGTAACAGAAAAAGAAAGGTTCGACATTATCAGGCATGATTCCTGTGGCTCCTAAAACTTGGGCTATCAGGACCCATAAAGCTACCTCTTTATCTTAATAGTACTGTGATTATTTTACAATTTCTTAACCAATGAGAAGACTTTAGTCCTAACTGAGCTTATTCAGCACAACAGGGCAAGGGGAGTTCTTGCCTAGTGTCCTGGGATCCCATACCATCCCCCACAATGTCCTATTCTTTATAGCAGTGTAACTTTGCTTCCAAAGACACTCTTCTGCGAACACAAGACTCTATATGTATGGTGTCTTGGATTAAATTTGTCTCCAACTTGCACCTTAGGATCTTTATGGGCTTTGCAACATAAAATAAGACTCTTGGGAACAGCCAGGCGGGACTAACCATGCACCATATTTTGTGACAGGCTTTGGTCTTTTCTCTGTGGGATACAGAGATTTGCCTCTCAAGTAAAGACCATCTTTGATCTCCATACTAGAGGAAGATGGAGTAAGTCAAACCCCCTAGGTGAGAAGAATTGGGTGGGGAGATAGTACAAGAGAAAAACCAATGCATTATCCTAAGGAAAGATGCCTGCTTTGGGCTCAATCTCTTCTGGTCTCTTCAGCACCTGAAGACCCTCTTTCAAGCTGTTCAATCCACTTCCCATTAAAGGCTGACTCAAATTCATAAAGGTGAGGACCAAACTGGCAGGATGTGTCAGGAGTAAGTCCCCAGCCTCCAAAACAAGGTTGCTTTCAAGACTGGGACTGGGGTATGAATGAAGGAAGCCCTCAGTTTTAGGAGTAACCCCTGCACTTGCACAAGACTGAGAAGGACTTCTTTAAACACTGTGCCTCTCTTCATCCTAGTCCCAACAGTGACTACCTCCATTTATATCCCCAGCTCCACCAACTCTCATGAGCAATAGAGTCTGGGCAGGTTATTTAACCTACGTGGGAACACAACTATCTACCTCTCAGCATTATTGTATCCTTAAAGAGGAAGACTACTGCTCATGAAGAACAGTGTAGAAGCCCAAAAAGAATTTGAGGTATTAGCTATTCCCTTGGCACGGGAACAAACCACTAGCAACAGCCTCATTCAGTTGACTGAGAGAATGGTTTCAGGAATTTAAAACTGGCAAACAATAACAACAACAGCAAAGAAATCTCAAATAGGCATGAAATGAAATGCCCTTTCTGACAGCTACGTAAATCTGACACACTGTGCCTAACAGAAAAACATCACATGGCCTCCTCTTCTCCCACAGTGATCATGGTTATGTCCTCAATTGCCATCCTGATTACCTTGATCTTTAACACGAGAACAGCTGGTTCCCTTTTATCTCGTACCAGTGCCAGGAGAGGCAAAAACTACATAAAAGCTTGAGATCAAACACTCAGAGCACCCCAAGCACCTTTTTGCTTGTACTTAAGTTGCATAAGAAGGTGAAATTACCAAGCTCCATTTAGGCATGTTTAAAGAAATAATGAGCTCCAGCATGAGAGACCATATTGAAAGCAAGAAAGTATTTTATGTTCATTCACTCCAAAGAGCAAATTCCCCATTCTCGGGCTCCACAGTTGGAGGTGATAGGGAGGATGTGGGGGAGAGTGCATCAGCAATCCTCATCACCTTTGTTCACATCCTCTCTTTTGTCTCGTGAGATACAGAGCCATCTGCTACCTTTGGAGGGATATAGGTACCTGCCGAGAAGATGGGTTGTGGGAGTGGGTAACCGGGAGCAATGCCCCAGCCTGTTGGAAGACTGGCACAGAGGAAATTCTGAGACGAACTAAAACATGCAGAAGAGAAAACGCAGGTGTTTCTTTAGATGAGCACACGACTCAACAAAACTTTGCAAGTGCAGAGTTTTATTAGGAAACATGAAATAAGGCACTTAGTCCTAAAACTTCCCCTAGTCCTTTCTTTTAGGAGTTTCACTTTCCAAAACTAGAATTAGAAAGAATGTAAAAGAGCAAATCAGCGGATTGAATTTATAGGGTGAAGATCAAATTTGTCACAGGAGGTAAACTTCCCGAGCAGAGGTGGTTGCACGTGTACTAATCCCTAATAAATGCACATTATTCAGAATCAGGAAGCCTTTCGGATGTGTATCTCAAGTTGCCTATCATTCAGTGTTTGAAGCTGAATGGAGACAGGGGAGAGAAAAAAAAGAACATTTGAAGCATGAGTGAGTATGATATAGTGTTAGATTAGGTTGCTAGGCATTTGCAAAACAAGTATGTTTTAAGAAATGATAAATTCCCATTCAACAAGAATTACTGGTAGTCCATTATGTAAATTATATGTATAACTTACACTCTGAAACACACACACACACACACACACACAAACACACATACACACAGACACACAGACGCTGTGGTGTTGAGGATTGAATCCAGAGCCTCACACATGCTAAGCAAATGCTTATACTCTCAACTCTCTATGTATGTTCTTATAACTTGTCATCACACAGGCTAGTCCTTCTCCAAAAATAGCAGATATGAACTCTGCCATTCACTAATATAAATTCTACATTGTTAGAAAATGATAGGTTTTATTGAAGCTTTCCTATACTACTGGGTAAATCCTATACCCTTGATCAGGTTATAGGAGTCTCTAGAGATCTTGCCTCTGATCCCCCATGCCATCTCTCTCATCTCCTTCCCAGTCTCCAACATTTGCTAAACCTGCTGGGCTCCCTGAACTTGCCATATAATCCTGTTAAATTTTCTTCCCTCTGATTGAAAATTCCATCCTCCACTACATAATACTTTATGTCTCAATGCAAGCACTAGTTCCTATCTGCTGGCCCTGACTCACAAATGTGGGTTCCTTACCTCCACTCCAGCTGTTATTACACTGTCACTTTTTTTGAGGGGGATGGCTGTTTTCAAGCTAGGCTATTCCAGTCTCAATTTCCTAGATTTTCACAACAATGGATGAAGAGTAAGTGCCCAATAACATATGAATTTATTATCAAATTAATGATTGAACAAAAAAACTTAAGAACACATGCTTATAGCCTGTATGCAAATGTAATTGCTCTAGGATATACTCAGTGCATGAATTTCACATCCAGAAACAATTCAAGAAGGCAGAGAAAAGGGTTGGACCAGTCCTGTTCCAGGCATGAATTCCAATGGGACAGTGAGGCAGGGGTCTTAGGAATACACCAACCCATTTAGCTTAGCACTGGCAACCCAGGACCTGAGATTCAAGGGAAGTGTATATCAGTGTGAACTTAAGTTATTTACCTTCTTTGTTACTCAATTCCTGCTTCTATAACATGGGAATAAAAATATCCACTGCACATGCTTGTGTGGATTACACGTAATACACTGCACATGCTTGTGTGGATACTATGTAAAACCTAGCAAAATGTCTGTCATGCAGTTGTTGCTCAGAAAAGAGTAGCTACCATCAAATAGAAGGTTCTGTTAAAAGTGTGTACCATGGAAGGTGGTAACTTGTCATCACACAGGCTAGTACTTCCCCAAAATGGCAGATATGAACTCTGCCATTCACTAATATAAATTCTACAGGAGAAATGAGGTAGTGAATGGAAAACATTAAGTATATCGCCAAGCATAATGTAAGCACTGCATGTTTGCAGTTAGTATTTCTGGTGTCATGTCATTGTTATTTTGACTGGAGTTTAGGATGGTATACTAGTGTTTTGCAAAAAGGACAGTAGGAAATCAGGGGTTCCCTGAAGACAGGCATGCAGCATACAGGAGGTGAATGGCAACCATACCAGGGAATGAGGGAACTTTGGATCATAGACCACACACATGATTTTTCAGAGGTGGGTGAAAGGACACTAGGCAACAATCAGCCAGGTTGAGTGCCTAAGTCTTTTCAGGCTGCTGTAACAAAATACCATAAGCGAGTGCCATAGAAGCTGGATGTGGGGTAACCTATGAAGCAGTTTTGGTGGAGGCGAACACTGGAGGATTCTCGAAAGCTCTCTCATCTTGGGTGCCGACAATAGCAATGAATGAGGCCCAAAACAGACAACCAGATATTTTAGGTTAAATCAGTGGTTCTTAATTATTTTCTGGGTCTCAGAACCTCCATCAAAATTGATGGATGCACCAATCCATTGTCCCCATAAAATGCACACAAATTCCTCTGCAATCTCAGGAGTTCCCTGAATCTCACATTAAACATGCTTGTGTGAAGTTTTTAAGTAGACTTCAGTTGGATTCCAGGAAAGCAGAAGTATAAATGAATCATAGGAGTTCTGTTGGGCCTGTATGGAGTGATCCATGAAGAAGTGGTGAGAAATAAATTGAAGTAAATATGGAAAAACAATTGGAAATTGCTTTCTGATCTGAGAAACTCAAATTTGATTGATGATTGACAGGAAGCTACTGTTCTTGAGGCAGAGACAAAATGATGTTTCAGATAGTTTATTCTGGCAGCTGTGGGTAGGCTTAATTGAAAAAGATAAACTCACAAAGATTATTGATAAAGGTATTGTAGACATCTTGGTTCAGAAGTTATCATCACTCACAAAAGCTAGAAGGAAAATTGATTCATTCAAGAGATGTTCCTTTGATATAACCCTAACTTCTCCCTTAGGTTTAAATTCACCCAGTCCCTTCCTTTCTGGAAACTTCTCCTTGGATGTCCTCTTGACACTCTCACACAAAAACAAAATGACTCAACAAAGTACATTTCCTA